TGCTAGCTCCAATGAGTTTCTGTTGCTTTGCACAAAGAGCTGTGGCTATGACATTAATCCATCTGCAAAGCTGAGTCCATCTAGTCAAAAGCATCTTTATCTAAAGCCATCACCTACAAACGCTTTGTGATGGTCCAGCCAGACCTTAAGTAAGTGCTGAGAAGCGCCTATTTCTACAGCAATCTCACATTTTCTAAGTTCAGTATTCTCTGCCAACAAACTGGCCTGTGTTGTGCATCATCTCTGTGTGTTTGCAGCAGCTGATTCAGTCTTATAGGTAAGGGGCTGGTGGATTTTGCCACAACGTATAAGCTGTGCATACTGCACTGTGATGGATCCTGTTCATTCTGATTATCTCCCAGATCGCTCAGTCAGCAGTACCTAAAATGCATATTGACTGAGTGCCAGAGTGCAGGCTTCTGCGTTAGGTGCAGTCTCAGCCAAGGAAGCCAGCTTGCTTAGAGCTTGCTCAGTGACCGGCATTGCTCAAATTGCTGCCCCCTGAGGAAGTTTGCTTCAAATTGCACTGCCGTGTTACCTTAACTTATTCAACAGTTCAGAAACCTAAAAAATGACTCTGAATCTTACCCTCGAATGCTTTATATCACCCATTTTTATTCCTCTTAGAATTTATGTCCTCACTTTGCAAGTCTAAGAATGATTGTTCTGGCTGCCTGCGCTGCACAGTCTGCTGGGGGCTGTAGGCCCCAGCTGTGCTTTCTCTGCCTCTGACACCTCCCTTGGCAATAAACAGAACTCTATCAGGATTTCCCTAATGACTCCTACAGCAATGGGCAACGGTGCAGCTCATTAATAATGGCACCAGCACCATGGGCTAGTGGGAACAAATGTCTATTTGGTTCTAGAAAATAAGCCAATTTCATCATTAGACATTGGCCAGAGTGATGCGGAAAAAGAAGCCATCTATAGAAAGAGAATCTTATTTTGCTGAAGACTCTGTTGATTCTCGTCCTCCTCTGAAGAAGCTGCTGCTTCAGGGGAGAGGTTGGGAAATCACACCCATGCCTCAGAATGGGAAAACAGATTCCTGGCAAACCTCCCTCTGCAATTCTCCTTGACCTTCCCAGCTTTTTCTCAAGGTGGTGCTGCTAAACTGCTGGCATTTCCACTGTATCTGTGGAAGAAGGTTGCAATGCAACCTTTTTGGGCTCAGTTTCACTGACTTATTGAGTAATCACCATGGGTGAGGCACTGTTCTAAGTTCTTTATGTGTTCCAAGTGCATTTATTCTGCACACTGATACTTATTATCCTCGTTTTTCAGATGGGGAAAACGAGGTTCAGAGAAGCCAAGCACCATGCCCAACACCCCACAGCCAAACTGTGATAGAACAGATCTGAACATAGGACTGGCTCCACAGCACACAGCCTTAACCTCCCAGGATGTATTTCAAGTGATCGTTAACAGTAATAAGCAACATTTATAAAGTGTCTTCCTTCCAATATACAAAACATTTTCAAATATGTTGTCTCATTTTATCCATAGGGTAATATTTTTCTAATCTGGAAAGCTGGGGTCACACTGCCTCAAATTACCTCTTTTAATGCATAACAGAGGATAGGTAGTCAAATTTGGGACAGAACAAAGAAGAAATTAATTTTGTGACCAGTGTTGATTCATCTGAGAAATGGAGGGGGTACAATTTTAGGCTAAAGAGGTCCCTTACTTTAGCCTTCTTGGTTTACCTGATTTTGTATATCCATGATCCCAGAAAAAACCAAAAGATTCATCCCAGGCCCTCATGCCTTCTTCTGGGACCAGGAACACGTTCCCATCAGATTTTTAAAAAGCCTCCCAGGCACATACATACACAGTTCCTTGATAATTCCAGTTCTGCCCTAAGTCTCTCTGCAGTCTCCTAACACTAAACTGAAGCTGAATTCTTCCCCACTCCCCTCCTCACGTCCCCTAAAGGCAATCCTCCTATCAGTGTTAAACAGAAGTTCCAATGCAGAAAAAACCAAGGAGGCAGTAAGATGTGGAACAATTACATGCCTCTATTTTTTTTCCTGCTCTGATATCACCCTGTTTTTGCAGACTTTTTTCCCCCTTCTCTCAATCTATAGCTTTCTATGCTTATAAAGCTGTTGACACTGATGAAGTCAGTCACGGGAAATACCATCCTTTTAATGTTCTTCTATCTTGCTGAGAAAATGAGTGGTGCTCTTGGAAGCTGTATTAGGTGTTCTTTCTGCGGCTCCTCCCTTTTTTCTACACTAAACCATCCTTGGAAGAACCAACCGTACAAATGCTTAACCAGGCAGGGGGAGGAGGGGATTAAAAAATTACGTGAAGAATTCCTCAAACAGAAGCACTATTCTGGGCACCAAGGAGAGAAGGTAATAAAAGAAGGTGGGAAAAGTAGGTTCTGCCATGGCCTGTGTGTGCAAGAAAAGGGCCCGCTGACTCCTAGTGACTGAGACCCCTTCCGAGGGCAGTGAGTAGAAAAATGCACAGCTGAGCATGAAGCCTGATCAAGGAAATGCAGTTCTGTAACATAAAGAAGCCAGAAAAATGGCATTACTTGGATAATCTAGATGCCTGGGGAGGTAGAGTCACAACAGTGTGCACACCATCCCTTTAATGCACAACCCAGGATACTTAGGCATCAGGGTAGGGGCAGGACAAAAAAAAAAAGGGAATCCATTCAGCACTCAATTCTGGAAGGACAAGCCTGGCTATTGTTTTCTTTTTTAAACTGATCGGACTGAAAAGTATATAGTATAAGAATTATGTACTGACCTGGGGAAAAAAAAAAAAATGCTCACAACAACTGTTTAAACAAACGATCCAAAAAAGTAATTTCTTCAAAAATGTCTTTTCCAAAAATAGAATCCAACTGGGATGGTTCAAGAGACTTCAATGAAGGAGCTATTAACAGAGGTGTAGGCAGGGTAAAGAGGTCCCTGGATAGTACAAACAGATAGTACACTTGACTGCTTACTGAAAGGCTGGTAGCTCAAGTCCACCCAGAGCTGCCTTGGAAGAAAGGCCTGGAGATCTACTTCACAAAAATAAGTCACTGAAAACCCTATGGAGCACAGTTCTACACTGACACACATGGGGTCACCACGAGTCTGAATCAACTGGACGGCAACTGGATAATGGCTAGGCAAGGTAAAGGGAAAAAAAAAGAAAAACTGTTGGGGCACCCAGGGGCTAGCAACTGTAGGAAGCTATTACCACCTGTAGTCTTCAAGGGAGAGGGAGAAAATGGAATTCCTGAAGCCTGCTGAGAGCTGGACTCTGAGGAGGAACTACTGCCAGAAAACACACCCCAAAGCAGGGAGGGAGCAAGCAATATCCTGATCTCTCTTTCCCACCTACCTGCTCCTGCTGGTGCCTCTCATTGACTGAACTCAATCAGAAGTCAGATGGCAGGGAAGCCCAAGTATATTCCGTGGATTTGCAGAGAGCAGGGTAAAGAGCGTAGAGAATGAAATGGGGGGAGGGGAGGGTAAATAATACATACCCAACTCAATATAGGATCCCAGTCACTTTCTATCACATCACATTCACAAACTCAAATCAAATTAAAATTGAATCACAAATTCAATAGATTTAGTATATTCACAGATATGTGTGTCAAAAGAAAAAAATCCAATCGATAAGTCACCTAGAGTTAAAAAGTTTTAACTGCAGAAAAAACTGAGAACAGAAAGCACCCCTTCGAAGAGGTGAGCTTGTCACACTACAATTTTGATTCTACAGTATAAACTGTTTCCCAAAAGGGAAATTTTAAATAATTGGTTGTCATTCACTTTATCGGCAGGAGGTGGGTTGGATTGGTTTATTAACTTTGTGTATCTGCATTCTATAGGCTAGTTATGCCTTATCTAATTATTTAAACTTTTCCCAAAACTGTCTTTATCACCATGACTTTTTAGTTTCTGTGAAGGCTGAGCTAAGAAGGGAGGGGGTCATTTTCTTTACAATGTGAAACCATCACCAGAGACAGTTTTAGAACATTTTTATCATCTCAAAAAGAAACTCATGCCCTTTCTAACTATCACTCCCTTGTCCCTCAACTCATACCCCCAGACCCAGGCAACCACTTTCTGTCTCTATCGACTTGCCTATTCTGGACATTTCATATGAATGGAATAATATGTGGTCTTTTGTGTCTGACTTCTTTCACGTAGAAGGTTTTTAAGATTCATTTATGTTGTAGCACGTATTATTTCTTTATATGGTTGAATAATATTCCACTGTACGGCTATACCACATTTTGTTTATCCATGCATCTGTTGGTAGACATTTGGGTTGTTTCCACTTTGTACCGAATTTAGCGCTGCTGAGAACGACAGAATGTTAGATCAACTTCCTTGATTCAACTGAGGAAACTGAGACCCAAAGAAGTGAAGAGACTCACACAGCAAGTAGGAAAAGAACTAGACCAAGAACTCCGGCCTCCTGACTGTCAGTTCGGGGCACGCTCCTCTGCGTGTCCGAGCCACGCAGACTTCGGGTCAGCTGCCTCAGACACCTAAGGTCACTGCCAAAGACTGCACCACCTGTTCCTTTTTCTCTCCATCTCAAAACCTCCTTCGCCCTTCCCCCAACACAATACTCTCCTCTCTCTCCAAGTCTCAGTATTGAAGACAGTGCCCCAAGAGGCGAGAGAACTTCGGTGGCCGAGTCAGTCGGCTGCGGGCGGAGAAGTAACCAGAGTTTCCGAGAAATATCCTTTACTTCCGGGCAAGCCGCTACGGAGCTCCGCGGCTCACAGAGCAGCCTCCTACCCCGACTCGGCCACGCCCCTGCCACGCCCCCAGACGGGCGCGCCTCCGACACGCCTGTGGACCCGCGGCCTCCACGCTTAGGCTTGGGCGGAGCCGAACTCCCACGCCCCGCCCCCCGTCAGATCGACATCCAATTAACGTCGACAGCCCGAAGCCGCACCCAATGAGAAGGAAACGGTGTCTGCCGTGGCCCTATTGGCTGCTACAACACAAGAACGGACACGCCTACCTGGCTGACTCCACTCCTTGATGCTTCCGGGTACCTCCAACCCTCGCTTCTACCCCTGCAGAGCTGGGCCCGAGGGGCATCCCGAAGAGACTTTCCTATCAGGTAGGTCGGTGCGGGCTGAGGTGCACGTTGGCGTTGGGCTGAGAGCGGCCGCTACTCCATCCAGATCTCGGGGTGGGCTCGGGGCGTAGAGGGAAGGCCAAGGAAAGGGGCGGGGAGGAGTCGAGCACGTGGAACGCCGACCTGACCGTGGCGGGGGTGGGGACCAGGCCAGCGGGCTGCGCTTCTGCAGGCGTGCGGAATTCGTGGGCGTGCAACGCGCCTTGTGTTGTCGGGTCAGATCTGCAGCGGTGAACACCAAGGAGGGGGAAGCAGAAGGAGCGTTTTTCTAAACCCTTATGCTGGAGGCCCCATCGACCACCTGGTCTTAGGTAGACTGTGAACCCTTGGGTGCGGTTTTCCCCCTTTTAAAGTTCAGATTGGATAGACTTTTTCGAACTGGTCAACGTAACAGCTTAACTCATATTGCCCTCTTACTATGTGCTAGGCAGTGTGCTGACTACAGGCATTAACTAAGTCTTCCGTACAGCAGCCCTGTGAGATGTTTTTAAAAACCCATTGCCGTTGAGTCGATTGCGACTCATAGCGACCCTGTAGAGATATAGTTAGTAGTATCTTTGTCAGGTGCAGAAAAACGCCTAGTGAGGTTGTAACTTGCACAAGGTAACTCACCAGCTAGAAAGTGGTGGAGCCCTGCCTTGAACCAAAGCCTTCTGAGTCCAGAGCCTGGGCCCTTAATCTCCACACTGAGTTGTGTGTTAGCAAAAAGCCGACATTCCACACAGATGCTCGCACAGCCCAGGAAGCCTTGTCTCTTCAGTTGAGTGTTGTCGTTAGGTGCCATGCTGTCGATTCCCTGTCGATTCCGCTCATAGTGACCCTCTGTACAACAGAAGGAGACACTGCCCAGTCCTGCACCATCCTGATAATCGTAGCTATGTTTGAGCCCACAATAGAAGGTCACGGACAGAGAGGGAGAGGAATGTGGAACAAAACTTCAAAGTCATAAATAAGATCAGACTTACTGGTCCAGTGGAGCCCTAGTGGCACAGTGGTTAAGTGTTCTGCTGTTAACCAAAAGATTGGCAGTTCGAATCCACCAGCCGCTCCTTGGAAACCCTATGGGCCAGTTCTACTTTGTCCTGTCAGGTTGCTATGAGTCAGAATTGACTTGACGGCAATGGGTTATTAGTCTTCTGATAGGAACCCCCAAGACTATGGCCCTTAGACACTCACCCTTCAAACTTGGAACAAATCATTCCCGGAAATCACATTATGCCCATACGATAGACCCATTGCCCATTGCCATCAAGTTGATCCTGACTCAACAACTCTATAGGACAGAGTAGAACTGCCCCATAGGGTTTCCAAGGAGCACCTGGTGGATTTGAACTGCCCACCTTCTGGTTAGCAGCTGTAGCTCTTAACCACTATGCCACCAGGGTTTCCTCATGTAATAGAGAGACCTATAAAGTGAATAATAACACTAGTGAGGAATGTACATCTCAGAACATTCAACTAAATGAGACCTAGAGGGCAGCATTTGTCCAAAAGCAAAGCTGAGAAGGATGGTAGGGGCAAGAAAGCTGGGCGAATGGACAAGGGGAACCCAGGGAGGAAGAGGGGAGAGTGCTGATACATTCAGGGGTTTGCAACCAATGTCACGAAACAAGCTGTGTATAAATTGTTGACTAGGAAATTAATTTGCTCTGTATACTTCCACCTAAATAATAATGAAATGTTCAAAAAAAAAAGAAGGCATACTTGCTAAGTTTTTCCAGAATAGTGGGAGCCCTGGTGGCATAGTGGTTAAGAGCCCACCTGCAAACCAAAAGGTCAGCAGTTTGAATCTACCATCCGCTCCTTGGAAACACTATGGAGCATTCTACTCTGTCCTATGAGTTGGAATCCACTCGATGGCACCAAGTCTGGTTTTTGGTTTTACTTCTTCGAGGTAGCCCAGGTGGCACAGTGGTTAAGCGTTCGGCTGCTTCGAGTACTTAAGAGATTCTCCAGAAGGGAAAGCCAAGCTCAGCCATCCACTACACACATTTTATTGGAATGTCTGTGTCTGGTAGAACAGCTTCAAAGGACCTGGATTCAGCGTTTCATCCAACAAATTGTTATTGAGCACTTCCTGAATAGAACAGGGTTTCTCGGCCTCAGCACTATTGACATTTTGGTCTGGATAATTCTTTGTTGTAAGGTGCTGTCCTGTGTATTGTACAGTGGTTAGCAGGATACCTGACCTCTGCCCACTACATGCCTCAGTCCCCCAGTCCCCACAAATTGTGACAACTGAAATGTCTGCAGACGTTGCCAAATGTCCCCGCGGCGGGGGGTCAAAATTGCCCTTGGTTGTTAGAGAAATAAGAGCTGTCACACTAATAGATATATGCACACCCATGTTCATTACAGAGCTGTTCACAATAGCAAAAAGATGGAAACAACCTAGGTGCAAATCAGCAGTCGAACGGATAAACAAATAATGGTATATTCACACGATGGAATACTACGCAGCGAAAAGAAAACAATGAATCCATGAAACATAACATGGAGGAATCTGGAAGGGACTATGCTAAGTGAACTTAAAGTCGCAAAAGGACAAATATTGTATAAGACCACTACTATACAAACTCAAGAAAAGGTTTAAACACAGAAGAAAACATTTTTTGATGGTTAGGAGAGTAGGGAGGGAGGGGGGTATTCCCTAAGTAGATTGTAGATAAGAATTATCTTAGGTGAAGGGAAGGATAACACATGCTACAGGGGAAGTCAGCACAACTGGACTAAACCAAAAGCTAAGAAGTGTCCTGAATACAACTAAACACTTCGAGGGACAGAGTAGCAGGGGTGGGATCTGGGGACCATGGTTTCAGGGAACATCTAGGTCAATAGGCATAACAAAGTTTATTTATTTATTTTTCCCCATAACAAAAATTTATACATACATTGTTATGTGAATCCAGTTGCTCTCCCCATACTGCGAAAGCACACTCCTCCCTTCCACCCCTGTTGCCCACGTCCACTCAACCAGCTCCCAACCCTCCTTGCCCTCCCATCCCATCTCCAGACAGAAGCTGCCTGTCTAGTCTCCTGTATCTACTTGAGCTAAGAGTCACACTCCTCATGAGTATCTCTTTATGTCCCACAGTCCAGTCCAATCCCTGTCTGAAGAGTTGGCCTCAGAAATTGTTTTAGTTCTGGGCTGATAGAGAATCCAGGGACCATGCTTTCCAGGTTTCCTCCAGTCTCAGTCAGACCATCAAGTCCGGTCTTCTTACTAGAATTTGAGTTCTGCACCCCACCTTTCTCCTGCTCCATCTGGGACTCTTGTGTTCCCTGTCAGGGCAGTCATTGGTGGTAGCTGGGCACCATCTAGTTCTTCTGTTCTCAAGCTGATGAAGTCTGGTTTACGTGGCCCTTTCTGTCTCTTTGGCTACTACTTTCCTTGTGTCTTTGGTGTTCTTCATTCTCCTTTGCTCCAGGTGGTTGAGACCAATTGATGCATCTTAGATGGCCGCTTGCTAGCTTTTAAGATCCCCAGATGCCACTCACCAAAATAGGATGCGGAACATTTTCTTAATAAGCTTTGTTAAATTGGCATAACAAAGTTTATTAAGAAAATGTTTGCATCCTGCTTTGGTGAGTGGCTTCTGGGGATCTTAAAAGCTAGCAAGCGGCCATCTAAGATGCATCAATTGGTCCCAACCCACCTGGAGCAAACGAGAATGAAGAACACCAAAGATAAAAGGAAAATATTAGCCCAAGAGACAGAAAGGGCCACGTAAACCAGAGACTGCCATCAGCCTGAGACCAGAAGAAGTAGATGGTGCCCAGCTACCACCAGTGACCGCCCTAACAGGGAACACAACAGAGAGTCCCTGATAGAGCAGGAGAAAAGTGGGGTGTAGAACTCAAATTCTAGTAAGAAGACAGACTTATGGTTTGCCTGAGACTGGAGGGACCCCAGAAGACATGGCCTGTGGACACTCTGTTAGCCCAAGACTGACACCATTCCCGAGGCCAACTCTTCAGACAAAGATTAGACTGAACTATGGGACATAAAATGATACTCCCTAAGAGTGTGCTGCTTAGCTCAAGTAGATACATGAGACTAAATGGGCAGCTCCTATCCAGAGGCGAGATGAGAAGGCTGAGAGGGTCAGGAGTTGGTTGAATGGACACGGGAAATCAGAGGTGGAAAGGAGGAGTGTGCTGTTACAGTATAGGGAGAGCAGCTAGGGTCACATAATAATATGTGTATAAATTTTTGTATGAGAGACTAACTTGAAGTGTAAACTTTCACTTAAAGCACAATTTAAAAATTGCCCTTGGTTGAGAGCCACAATCTAAAAAGTGATCTGTGCTAGATTTCCTACTATTGTCAGATGAAATTGTCTCTGATTTTGAATTTGAATTCTCACGACATATTTGACTTTGGAACCACATTTTCTCAATCTGTGTATCACCACTATGCTGATGACTTTTCCATTTAATATGCACAAGCTTTTGTGGAAAATAAATGAAAAGCTCCTAACTGCCTTGATGATGCATAATAAAGATGGACGTGAAAAATTTTAGATATGAAGATATACTAGAGTACCTTTGAAAATGGCATCCAAGTGTATACAGTTTGAGGCAGATCAAAATTAATAAAAAAAATTTTAACATTAAAGAGGGAGTGCATGTGCGCACACAGGGGCAGAACAGTGTGGAAAACATAGAGTGGGTGACCCAAAAGAAGCCAGAAAAAGGATTAATCTGACAGGTAAGGAGTATTAAGGGGAAGATACTCCAGAAGCAAGCAGGGGAGGGGGAAGCTTCCTCACAGTTTTCGGCAAGTGTTTGGCCCTGGGGCACAGACCTTAGGAAAGAAAATGAGCCCAGAGTTGTCAATGAACCTGAAGAAAAGGGAAGGGTCAAAGGATTTGGAGGTCTTGATGGAGATGAAAATGATTTAGTGGGAGAAAATGATTGGAAGAAATGAGCAGAGATGAGGTAAGATGAGAGAATGGGGTTTCCTAAGTATAAAGTTTTAGAGGCTGTATAGATTTCAGAGCAGCGTTTCTCAAAATGTCATCCACAGACCACTTAATACATATTTGCAGCATACACATATCTACATTTTAAAGTAATTAGAAAAATTATCTCGCTTTAAAAAAGTGTATTCCATTGCAGTGAGAGGAATGATATTTGTAACTTTTCAAGAAAATACCTTTATGTAGTAACTATATATGTAACTACTACACCCACAAAATTTCTCTTACTCTTTGTATTGAATTAGCCCTAACTCACAATTGAGCAAATATGCAAAGGACCTCTCTTAAAGTGTTAAAAAACAAAGATGTCATTTTAAGGACTAAGGTGCGCCTGACCCAAGCCATGGTGTTTTCAATCACCTCATATGCATGTGAAAGCTGGACGTTGAATAAATAAGACCAAAGAAGAATTGATGCTTTTGAATTATGTTGTTGGTGAAGTATATTCAATATACCATGGACTGCCAGAAGAATGAATAAATCTATCTTGGAAGAAGTACAGCCAGAATGCTCCTTAGAAGAGAGGATGGTGAGACTTCGTCTCACATACTTTAGCTATGTTATCAGGAGGGACCAGTCCCTGAGAAGCACATCATGCCTGGTAAAGTAGAAGGTCAGCGAAAAAGAGGAAGACTCTCAATGAGATGGATTGACACAGTGGGTGCAACAGTGGACTCAAACATAGCAACGATTGTGAGGATGGTGCAGGACTGGGCAGTGTTTTGTTCCATTGTACATAGGGGTCACTGTGAGTCGAAACCATCTCAGTGGCACCTAACTAACAACAATGCAATCATAGGTTGGCACAGAAGCAGCTGAATAAGCAGTAGAATGTACAGAATAAGGAGTGACTTGTCACTGAAAAGACTTTGGTGCTGTAACAGGCATTCCCCACTCAAAAGCAGAAGTTGGAAATACAGGCAAATATGTGGAGTTCTGATCCATTTTTTGGTTGCATTCAGCTCTAGAAATTATTCAAATTTTGTCATGGCATTTGAATATGGTTTTAATATGTATTGGTTAAGTTGTCATCAATTTTTCTAGTGAGTGAAAAAAACACACCCCGTGTTGGGAAAGCATTAAACTCAGCAGCTGGTCCATGTACCACAGTTCAATCTAAAAGCCTAATGTGATTCTTAGTGTTAAAACTTCGGTATTTTGATAGTTAATGGTAGATTCAGGTTATACAAAATAAAGATTTTGAAAAAACGACTTGAAATAGTTGTGGCTATAGCAGTGTCATTAAGAAGTTTTTTTTTTTTTTTAATTGTACTTCAGGTGAAGGCTTACAGAACAAATAGTTTCTCATGAAACGGTAGTACACATATTGTTTTATCCATTGGTTAACAACCCCACGACATGTCAACCCTCTCCCTTCTCGGCCTTTTTTTTTTTTTTGGTGAAAATATACATAGCCAAAGATACACCATTTCAAAAATTTCTACATGCACTGTTCAGTGACATCGACTATGCTCTTCCAGTTGTGCTGCTATTCTCACTTTAGATGAAGACTTACAGAACAAAATAGTTTCTCATTTAACAGTACACATGTTGCCCTATGACAATGGTTAACAACCTCACAACACATCAACAGTATCCTTACTTAGCCTTGGGTTCCCTATCACCAACTTTCCTGTCCCCTTCTGCCTTCTGGCCCTTGTCCCTGGACTGCTGTGCCTCACTAGTCCAATTTGGTTTTATGGGGCTGTCCACTCCCCGGCTGAATGGTGAACCTCGGAAATGACTTCACCACTGAGCTAAAAGGGTGTCTGGGGGCCATACATTAAGAAGTATTTTTATCTCATTCCTTATTTCAAAAAATGCATGTGAGGTCCCTGCGTGTGTGCACCTAATCTCAGCTGGTCTGCCAGAGACCCCCTGAGCGCCAACCCGAGTCCCCCGCGCTGCCCCATTTCCACTCCGACAACATGGAAGAAACTATCATGAATCAGGAGAAACTCGCCAAATTGCAGGCACAAGTGTGCATTGGTGGAAAAGGAACTGTTTGCAGAAAGAAGTAGGTGGTTCATAGAACAGCTACAGCAGATGATAAAAAACTTCAGTTCTCTTTAAAGAAATTAGGGGTAAACAATATCTCTGGTATTGAAGAGGTGAATATGTTTACAAACCGAGGAACAGTGGTCCTCTTTAACAATCCTAAAGTTCAGGCATCTCTGGCAGCGAACACTTTCACCATTACCGGCCATGCTGAGACAAAGCAGCTGACAGAAATGCTACGCAGCATCTTAAACCAGCTCGGCGCAGACAGTCTGACTAGTTTAAGAAGACTGGCTGAAGCTCTGCCCAAACAATCAGTGGATGGAAAAGCACCACTTGCTACTGGAGAGGTTGATGATGATGAAGTTCCAGATCTTGTGGAGAATTTTGATGAGGCTTCCAAGGATGAGGCAAACTGATTTGAGTCAACTTCTGAAGAAGATGAAACTTGAATAAGTTACTTGGAGCTGCTATTTTATATTATGACTGCATTTTAAAATTGTTTTGTTTATGGATCTGATAAAATCTAGATCTCTAATATTTTTAAGCCTAAGCCTTTTGGACATTGCAGCTCTTTTCAGTTTTTGTTTATACATAATTCATTTTTTGCAGCTAAATAAGCTGAACAAGCCTGGGAATAAAATTTGAAACAAAGGTTAATAAAGTTCTTTGCCTAGTAAAAAAAACAAAAAATGCATCTGAGCATCCTTCTCTTCCACAGCTGGTATACTTCAGCAAAGCATTCTTGTACTCACGCCTTACCTGTTTCTTCATAAACCGTGTCAAAAAGGCAAACTCAGTGTTTAATTACATTCTTAATTCTTCCCGTGTGCGTCAATGCTGAAACAGTATGAAGAGAAGCATCAGCCATCAATTTAAGGATTTTTGTGGGTTGAAGACAAATGTGTATTCTGGTATTATCTGGTAGGGAAGAGGAAGAAGAATAACCTAAGAGAGTTCATGACAGGCTCAGACTATTGTCTTAATAACGTGAGTCAACCCTCACACGGGTTGCCCAGGGAATGGATAGTTAGCAGGTTGTCAGTCCAGGGGTCACCTGTGAGGTAAGAGAAACTGTAGCCAAAGAGGTGGCTACCAAAGCATTGAATTTTACCAGCGTCTCCTTTACCTCGAGACAGCCCTTTACAGGTGAGGCTTGGTTTGGCAGCTTTGATGATAACCCAGATTAGGTCATCGTCTTGCCTAGTTCTGAGCATGAAGGAGCTATCAAGAAGCAAACAGATATAAGCATGCATGCACACACGTATGTATGTAATTATGTACATACGTAATTTTTTTCTCTTTTCCAAGCAGGAATGTATAAAGGCAGCTGGCAGAGTGGGAGAAGATACAGAAGAAGGAGTCACCAGCAGAGCCCTTGGTTCAGACGTTGTACCTCGAGTGAGAGGCAAGTGCTCTGGGGGAGTCAGCTTTTTTTTTTTGCTTTTTTTTTTTTTGTCTTTAACAAAGACAAATTTATTTTTTCGCAGTCTAGTAGGCTACAAGTCTAAATTCAGGGCGTCACCTCCAGGGGAAGGCTTTCTCTGTCGGCTATGGAGGAAGGTCCTTGTCATCAGTCTTCCCTTGGTCTGGGAGCATCTCAGTGCAGGAACCTAGGTCCAAAGGACGCGCTCTGCTCCTGGCACTGCTTTCTTGGTGGTATGAGGTCCCACACACTCTGCTTGCTTCCCTTTCCTTTTATATCTTGTAAGATAAAAGGTGGTGCAGGCCACACCCCAGGGAAACTCCCTTTACATTGGATCAGGGATGTGACCTGGATAAGGGTGTTACAATCCTACCCTAACCCCCTTTAACATAAAATTACCATCACAAAATGGAGAACAACCACACAGTACTGGGAATCATGTCCCAACCAAACTGATACACACATTTTTGGGGGGACGTAATTCGATCCATGACGAATATGTTCACCATATTGTTCAATCAGCACCATTAGCGATCTTATTTTTGAATGTTTGTAATAAGCACATATTTTTTTACAGAAAAAAACTACTTAGAAAAATTTGCATAGGAAAATACTAAATGAGTAATTCCTTTTGAATACAAGCTCCAATAGATCAGTGAATCCGCAGTAACCTCCAGTGACTGAACTTGATTATAACTCAAATTATATATGGGTGAAAGATGTTTGATATCAGGGATTCTATATGTTCTAAAGTCTAGAGGTTTTTTTTTTTTTTTTTTCATTTTTTCCCATACAAAAATTTATACATACCTTGTTGTGTGACTCTAATTGCTCTCCCCATACTGTGGCAGCACACTCCTCCTTTCCACCCAATTCCCCATGTCCATTCAACCAGCTCCTAACCCTCTTTGCCTTCCCATCTCACCTCCTGACAGAAGCTGCCCCTTTAGTGTCTTGTATCTACTTGAGCTAAGAGGCACACTCCTCACGAGTACCACTTTATGTCTCACGGTCCAGTCCAATCCCTGTCTGAAGAGTCAGCCTCAGTAATTGTTTTAGTTCTGGGCTGATAGAAATCTGGGGGCCATGCTTTCTGGAGTTCCTCCAGTCTCAGTCAGACCATTAAGTCTGGTCTTCTTACTAGAATTTGAGTTCTACACCCCACCTTTCTCCTGCTCCATCAGGGACTCTCTGTTGTGTTCCCTGTCAGGGTGGTCATTGGTGGTAGCTGGGCACCATCTAGTTCTTCTGGTCTCAGGCTGATGAAGTCTCTGGTTTATGTGGCCTTTTCTTTCTCTTGGGCTACTACTTTCCTTGTGTCTTTGGTGTTCTTCATTCTCCTTTACTCCAGGTGGGTTGGGACCAATTGATGCATCTTAGATGGCCACTTGCAAGCTTTTAAGACCCCAGATGCCACTCAACAAAGTAGGATGCAGAACATTTTCTTAATAAACTTTATTAGGCCGGTTGACCTGGATGGGGGAGCTAGCTTTTGCCCTTGACGTTCTAGGACTGTCCAGCATGGTGCTTCTCACACAGTAGTGTGCACGTGAGTTACTCGGGATCTCACTAGAGTACAGGTTCTGATTCAGCGAGTCTGAGGTGGGGCCCGAGGAGACTGCATTTTAACAAGCTCCCAGGTAGTGTCGTTGCTGCTGACCAGTGGGCCACACTTTGACTAGAGAGGAGGTGTGGCCACTTTTTTTTCCTTTCAGACTGACTGACTTCTGGCCAGAGCATTAGCCATAAGGTAAAAGTAGACACTATCTGATACAGCTGGAGAGTTGTTTCTCCATTCGGTGGACTTTTGCCTCCTTTTCTTTTCAACCAAAGAAAACAGCTTTCTGGAAACCTAAATTCGTTAATTCAGCCTAAGTCCTGGAAAAGACTACAAAAAATGAACAAGCACACACAATGTATATGTGTGTGTAATACAGTATCTAATGTACATTTAAAAGTGTGTGTATTACACAGTCAAATAGTTTGAGAGACAGAATAGCAGGGGTAGGGGTGTGGGGACCATGCTTTCAGGGGACATCTAGGTCAGTTGGCGTAACAAAGCTTATTAAGAAAATGTTCTGCATCCTACTTCGGTGAGTGGCGTCTGGGGTCTTAAAAGCTTGCAAGCGGCCATCTAAGATGCATCAATTGGTCCCAACCACCTGGAGTAAAGGAGAACAAAGAACACCAAAGACACAAGGAAAGTATTAGACCAAGAGACGGAAAGGGCTGCATAAACCAGAGACTTCATCAGCCTGAGACCAGAAGAACTAGATTGTGCCCGGCTACCACCAGTGACCGCCCTGACAGGGAACACAACAGGAGTCCCTGATGGAGCAGCAGAAATATGGGGTGCAGAACTTACATTCTACTAAGAAGACCAGACTCAGTGGTCTGACTGAGACTGGAGGTGCCCCAGAAAGCATGGCCCCTGGACTCTGAGCCCAGAACTAAAACAATTTCCAAGGCCAACTCTTCAAACAGGGATTGGACTGGACTGTGGGACATAAAGTGATACTCATGAAGAGTGTGCCTCTTAGTCAAGTAGAAACGAGACCAGAGGGGGAGCTTATGTCCAGAGGTGAGATGGGAAGGCAGAGAGGGTTAGGAGCTGGTTGAATGGACATGGGGAATCAGGGGCAGAAAGGAGGAGTGTGCTGTCGCAGAATGGGGTGAGCAGTTTGGGTCACATAACAATGTATGTATAAAATTTTGTATGGGAGACTAACTTGAAATGTGAATTTCATTTAACTACAACAACAACAACAAAATATATATATTAAAAAAAGTATGCTTATTACAATATCTGACATACATTTAAAAGTATATTAAAACCACCAAACCCATTGCCATTGAGTCAATTCCAACTCATAGCAACCCTATAGGACAGAGTAGAGCTGCCTCATAGAGTTCCAAGGAGCACCTGGTGGATTTGAACTGCCAGCCTTATTGGTTAGCAGCCGAGCTCTTAACCACCATGCCACCAGGGTTTCCGCAAGCTCCCACCTCACCAAAGCAGACACGTGTGCCAGTTTCAAAGCTCTTCTCCACTCCAGGCCTCCTTTTCAAACCGATTTCTAGTTATAGAATCAGGGAGGGTGCCAAATAATAAGATACTTCTCTTAGAACAGATTAACCCCAACAGTAACAAAAAGCATCAAAATGTTGTGGAAAGAACAAGAGCTTTGGAGTTAGGAGGTCTGGGTTTGACATCTTGCCTTTTCTTATGTGATAATTGGGCAAGTTGCCTAATCACTCTGAGTCATTATTTCTTCTTGCAGAAAACAGGGCTAATACTTCTCCTGTGAATCGGCAATAATGTATATAAAGCCCTTAACAGACTGCCTGCCTGGACCTCAGTGCACAGTAGGTCTGATTAGGTTCAGAATAAAATCTATTAAGCTGAGCCCAATCCCCAGACTTGTTCCATTTTGTAAAAAGGGATTGGGACCAGGCCCAATGTTTGTATGTTTTGTAAGGAGAACCATGGATATTTTTTGGGCCCCACGCCTTCCTACCAGAGCACAACACGTAGCAAAATGAAAGCTCAGCAAGGAGAGTCTAGCTTGGCTTTGGCAGAGTCTCCTGGAAACCTGCTGGACAGCCACCTTCTGGGCTTCCTGTGGAAAGAATGGAACAGCGGTCTTTGGACTAGCAGCACAGACATCTGTCATGACATGGGATCCTCCTGCTGCTGATCACAGCACAGCTGCCTCAGTAAGCTCGGGGCTATAAAAACGGAGGAGATATATTTTTTCATGAAACAGTGCATCGCCTTAGTATTTACAGAAGAAAGAGGAAGGTCTTTTGTTGCTTCCATCTAGTTTTGCAGTTTGTATTCCTTTTGGTGTGTGTGTGTTTCTTGATCTTACAGTGGGTTTTATCAGGATTCTGAAAGGTCTTTTGCTTTATCACCATATCCTCCCGCCTGTAATTGCCACAGTAGCCACTTGACTTGGCAAATCAAGTATTTTAACCATGGCTCCACCCCAGTTTTACTGAGCAAATTGCCTCCATTCCTTAAACCCCAGTTTCTCCATCTGAGGTAGGGTAGCCAAATAACATTTAAACCATTTGTGCTACTGAATCCAATAACGAATGAAATTCACCTGGCCTTGTAACTGTGGCTTTGAGCTGCCAAGTGAGCCCTGCTGGTAAAATTCTTTCCGACAAGGATTTCTGTTCTCCTTTTCATCTGGAGAATTCCAAAAGATCTTACACAGTGCTCAAGTGTGTGGAGATAAAAAGGGGAAATTACTGTGCTGTGAATTTTGAAAAAGATGAAAGACAAGGAACAGAAGTTAAAACCTTGCCCTAACTTTGGTGTATTTGCAGTAGGTGAACTGCTTTCAAAGAAGAGAGAAAAAACCAAGTACTCAGTCAGGGGTGAAGCCTGGAGAACTGCCCACTCCAAAGCCATCACAGTCAGAGAATGACTAGGAACTCAAGCCCTTTGCTGTAATTTACCACAACGGTGTGTGTCCACAGGTATAACACAGGGACATCACAAAGCCCCCAGGATTCTGGCCGTGGCAATGACGAGTCCCCGTCAACCTCTTCCAGCACAGCTGGAAGTTCTTCCGTGCCAGGTAAGGCAATCTGCTGGATAGGACTCCTTTGCCCCTGTCTGTGGGGAAAGATTGACCTGCTACTGCCTTGTCATCTGGTTACGTCTGGTCTCACTGCCTTTTTTCCTCAGCCAGGGCTTGGATGTGTGTCTTGGTGTCTCTTTGCTTCTATATGGGTACACTTCATGTGTATCACCGGCCCATTCCTGATTTGAAAGAAATTGTAGGAACAAATTAAGACACGGAAAGGAGGAACTGGATGTGTCAGGAAGGGTGATCTTGAGGCAAATGGTTTCCCGCAGGATTAGACTTGATCCAGGAGAGTGACTAATAATGCCAGCCCTTCTCCTCCTCAGAAAAGACAGGCGGCTAGTGGGGAGGGGGTGGTTTATGGACAGGCCACCAGGCTCCGCTAGGTGTTTTTCAGGTATTCTCCTTACAGTGTTTTCAGCTGAAGTGAATTTTATTTCTTTTGATTGAAGATCTACCAGGGTATTACTTTGACCCTGAAAAGAAACGCTATTTTCGCTTACTCCCTGGGCATAACAACTGCAACCCCCTCACGAAGGAGAGCATCCAGCAAAAGGAAACGGAGAAGAAAAGATTGCAGCTGGTGGAAGAAGACAAGCAGAAAAAGGTGGGCTCCACACTCCTGGGGGCATCCACCCACGGCTGAAAGGAGGTGCGATGGAGCACCCAGTAACACTTAGGGTACAGTGTACTTTAGGGAGTGTGGCTCAGGATTTTCTCTAGTAGGAACCTGATGGAGCAAATAAAAACAGGCAAGGAAGTGCCTTCTCCCATCCCCCCCTCCTTTTTTGTTTTGTTTGCTGAGTTTCATCAGTAATTCTGCCATTTTGTGCTATCCTAGTGGAAGCTTGGGAAGCAGCATGACACAATTTCAGTAGTTACGTACTTTAAATAGAAAGCTAGGATGTATGGTTTGGATGTGAGGGTTTCTTGTGTCCCTTCTGAGTACCACAAGCAATCTGGGAGACAGATTTAGATGCCAGGGCATTTTGATGATTATAGGGCAGCAGAATGGAAAATTTTGGCCTTGGGGTCGCCATAGGTCAAATAGAAAGCATGATGGGGACCTGGCCATTCTTTCCCATTCCAGGACCCACTAGCTTGGTGGCTTCATCTCCCCAGGTAGAAATTGATGGGAGGCTTGGGGGTGTGGAGTAGACTTTCCAATTCTCATATACTTCTTGTGATGGACTTTTCCTTTTGCCATGGAGACTGTCAGATTTTTATGCATATAATTTCTGCCAGTTTAGCACCTGTTTCTTCATTGCATCCTGTGGAACTAAAAACTTTCTCCCTTATCCCATGATATAAATATAGCTTCACTGAATTTTTTTTTTTTTTTTCGCTCAGAAAGTAGCCAGAATGGGATTTAATGCATCTTCCTTGCTACGCAAAAGACAGCTGGGTTTTCTCAACGACATCAGTTATTCCCGGTAAGACAATGCCTCATTGTTATGTTTTCTTTGTGGTTTTTCTTTTTTTTTTTTTTTTCCTGTTTCTTATTTCATGGTCCAGGGGGACAATCAGGATAAACCAAGTATATATTCTGTGAGGATACTTCACAATTGAGGGGCTCCCATTCATTATCTGCCTTTTGCTGCTTAAACCAGCCCTGGGAGCATGGTTCTCCCTCTGGGGTGAGGGAGGGAAACTCCTGCAGGAGGCCAGGGAGAAGAGAAATTAAATTACTCAAGATGTTTACTCTGTGTTACTCATAAATCAGTTTTGGTTTAGTAGAAGATCCTACATGTATCGTTTTGGTTTAGTAGAAGGTCCTACAACTTCATTCCAGTGAGTTGTCATCAAAAATGGGACATTAAATGGATGTGTGTGTACTAAATTTTATCTGAATACTTGGGATGTCTGACAATTCTAACCAAAACCCTGTGAGATAGGTTGGTAGTTCCCCCCTAGTTTCCAGAAAAGGAGACTGAGGTTCAGAAGAGAGAAGTGATTGGCTCAGGGTATAGCTGGAAAGGCAGGATCTGTCTGACTCCACTGCCTAAGCTCCTAGCCCTTGTGTTCGTTGCTTCCCCTTGCATGTGAGAGGTGAAGCAGCACGAGTTTGAGGTGGCTTACAGGGGCACAGATCTCTTACCTCGGAGCAGTGCCCCCTTGAAGCCGTGCAGGGGGTGCCAGCCAGGGCAGGCAGGCATGCCTTTCCTGTATTTCCCTCCTTCTGATATGGTTGCAGTGAGTCGGAATTGGCTCCACAGCAGTGGGTTTGGTTTGGTTTTTGAAAGGGAAGACAGTTGGAGATCTAGTCATAAAGATCTGTTATTCACTCTGAAACCTGCTGAGGTAGCTGTCAGGTGGAAGAGAAAAAGGGGCAATCAGTTGGGCAGCTGCAACCCTGGGCTCGTCTCATTAGTCAGGTGCCCTTTAGCATGTGTGTCTTAGTCATCTAATGCTGCTGTAACAGAAATACCACAAGTAGATGGCTTTTACAAACAAATTTATTCTCTCACAGTCTAGGAGGCTAGAAGTCCGAATTCAGGGTGCCAGTTCTAGGGGAAGTCTTTCTCTTTCTTTTCAGCTCTAGGGGGAGGGTCTTTGTCATCAATCTTCCCCTGGTCTAGGAGCTTCTCAGCGCAGGGACCATGGGTCCGAAAGATGTGCCCCACTCCCAGCACTTCTTTCTTGGTGGCATGAGGTCCCTCTCTTGTGCTCCATTCTCTCTTTTACATCTCAAAAAGTGATTGACTCAAGATACAACCTAATCCTGTAGGTTAACATAACTGCCTCTTATCCTGCCTCATTAACATCATAGAGATTAGGATTTACAACATGATAGGTTAAATACATCAGATCACAAAGTGGAAGACAACCACACAGTATTGGGAATCATGGCCTAGCCAAGTTGACACACATTTTTGGGGGACACAATTCAATCCATGACGATGTGTTTAATTTCTCTAGGCCTTATTCTCTTCATCTTAAGAGAAAGTTGTACTAGATGATCTAAAAACCAATCCCCGCTAGATCTAAGTTTCCTCGATTGTGTGAATGATTCACCCATTTCTTTTAGTTTTTCTAAGAGTTCTGTAGTAAAACCAAAATTTAGATTATTTGGGATCTTGCTCAGTTCCATTGCTAGGAAGTTACAAAATGGAGAGGCTGACTAGGAGAGATGGTATTGGGTTCTGCTCTTTCCCACCCACTGAGTCTTCTTCATGGATGTCTTGGTATAGAGTCCATGCCCCCCTGCCTCGTCTGTCTCCCCTCTGCAGTCTAGCCCATGAGCTGCGAGTGAGCTGCATGCAGAAGGGAAAGGTCCACATTCAGAGCTCGGATCCTTCTGCTTTGGCAAGTGACCAGTTTAACCTCATACTGGTGAGTTGGCAGGAGATACCTGTGCCTGGGGGGAACATGGTGGTCATCACTGAGACACTTTTGTCAAGCTTGGCTTAGTTGAAGCTGAATGCCATGAAAGCACGTGGTGCCATCTTGGTTTTATGGTTTTAACCAGCCCCTGCAGGCTACCTGGTGGCAGATATTGGGCTGGTAGGGCAGTCTGTGCTGTGACCATTGTCACTTCCCCCCTTCAGCTCTGTCATTATGTATCCAGTCTGGGTTCAGCCACACACTGGCTAAGAACCATTCAGAGTAATATTTCCTTGGGTATGCAACTGGAAGGGTTCACGGAGGACCCAGATGCTTCTGATCCTTCTAAACTGGGGCAGGATTTGGTGGCCAAACCCAAAGCTCCAGTGTGCCTTCGATAGCAGCAGACTGGGTGGCAGGGGCCTGCAGGCCTGTGTTTGTCCCTGGGCCTGCACATCCAGCACACCTTATCACTTCATTTGCTGGGAGCAGAAAGTCTTCCTGTGCCATTGATTAGACCCAGGTTGGAAGCCAGCAGCCAACTTCATGAGCCCAGAGGCCAGGAAAATGTTGGCAGAGAGTAAGGATCTCCTATAATCAAAAGGAGCCAGACCTCTCAGCAAGACTAGGTACTTCATGGGCCACATGAGGGCATGGCCTGCCAGACAAGCCCTGTCCTTTCTGGAGGCCAGCGGAAAACTGGGGAGCATGAGACAAGATGCAAACACAAGGAGCCTGGGCTCAGTAATCTGCTGGCAGGACTGGAGGCTGAAGTTACAGAATTGACCCTTGAGGTTAATGCTGAGTTCCCTTGTCCTGGAGACTTCCCGCAGCAGAGTCCTTCCACAGAAAGGGTGTTGGGGGACAGGACTCACATTCTATCCTCTGGCTACCCTCCTATGTGTTTGGGGTACAATTAGATCTGAATCAATAGACTATTCTCTTGTGGTGGGCTTGCCTCAGGAGCCCCTCCCTGGGCTTCTTCAGTAGTCCAGATGGGGCCTTTGGAGGGTGTGGATTCTGGAGTCTGGTGACACCCAGGCTGTTCGTTCTGAGCGTGAGCTCCTGGTCTTCATGTGGTAGTTCTGTCATCTCACTTCACAGGCTGTGTGTGCTGGCTTCTAAACGCAAGGGCTTTTTGGTAGAGCTTTCCCATCCCCCAAAGTTATGGTTGATTCTGGCAGTCTGCTGTGAGCCAGAGGGTTGGGAAGGGCAGTTTGCCACTCAGAGATCCAATTTTTCAGATTCGATTTTAGTCACTGGTACTGATTCTTCAGAAACATAGCTGTTCTTTTCAGCTAAGTCAGTGCCATTTCACCATTGTCCCAACTTAGTTCATCGTCCGTGTGTGTGTGTGCGCGTGTGTGTGTGTGTGTGTGTGTGTGTGTGGTATTTACCAATATATAAAAACACACAAAGATTTAGAGGTTTTGCTTTGAAGTAATTATTAACCACATTATTTTTAAAAAATAAACAAAAGAAAATCTTAAAAATAGCCCTCATTGTAGTGCAGTGTTTCCTGTTGTGCTTTTTTCTTTTTGCAGAGCAGTGTTTTTTTCCTTGGTGGTAACCATAGTGCCTGTGTTATGTGTGTACAGTTTAGTGTCCCGCTTCTATCCCTTGACAACTACAGCTAGCATTTCCCACGTTGCTGCATGGCTTTCGTGATGGCCACATAATGTGTCATCGTGTGGCTACCCCTCATTCACTGACTGAATAGTTCCTCTGAGTGGACATTTGGACTCTTCCAGCCCCGGTTCTGAGTCATTGTGCAGACCACGGACTTCCTGGCCAGGCCGCCTCAGTGCAGTTCTCATCCCTGCTGCTGAGTTGTTAGACCAGACAGCTGTTACCTTTGCCCCGAGATGGCTGTGTTGAGTAGGGGAAAGTTGGGCCATCTCCACCCTCCCTCACTGACAGAAGCATCCTGGTGAAAATGCACAGAGCATGTGGGCCAGGAGAGGTGGGCACTTGGTCAGAGGGTCTTAGGTAGCCCACCTGCCTCAACCTGTGAGGTCATCTCATGTCCACGTTGCTCCTCCAGGCAAATACCAACAGGGACCGGCTCTTCACAGTCATCGATGTCAAAGTCGGCGGCTCCAAGTACAGCATCATCAACCTCAGCCATCTGTGGATCCCATCACCCACTGTGAGAATGTATGAAAACTTGTACTTCACCAACCGGAAGGTACGCTCACCTGCCCCTTTAGCCTGACAGCCCACTCTGCATTGGGGTCCTGGGGCACTGCAGTGCAAGAAGTGGTTGCCCAAATTCAGGGCTGAGGAGGGAGCTGTGTGTAAAAGACCACGCATGGTTGCCTCATTTCCCCAAGGGACAGATTGATTTCTAGTTCCTGAGAGTCCATAGTGGAAGAAAAGGGCCTCAGGAGTTTCTTGTCTTAGAAGAGACAGTGAATTTTTATAGTTGGGGGTAGGCTTGAAGCAGTGCTGCTTCACCTAGTTGTAAGGACCTTCCCTCCAGGATTATCATGAGTCTATCCAAATGAGCCCACGCCAAAGCACAGAATTCTGAGATGTGGGCAGCAGTGGCCTGTGGCCTGGACATAAAGGTCCTCCTGTGAGCTCCAGGAGAATGCCTCAGGCAGTCAGCAAGTCTGTGACAGACACTGTGGCTGACACTGGGGTCTAGATAAATATAAGGAGCTCACTGTCTGGGGGCCACCTTTAAATTGGAGTGGGGTAATGACTGCATCTGTGACTTTTGGTTCATTTGGGACATGAGCCACAAGATGGATACAGGTTGAAAATGGTTTTGGGTGAAGTAAGATATAGTCCACCTTCTTCAGAGTTAGGTTTGTCCCCCTGTCATTGTAGAGAGTTCAGTCCCACCTGAGAGGGTATACCAGACATCCACTGTGGGCCCCATGCTGATGATGAAGGACTGAGGCCTGGGGGTTACTTCCTGCTTATCCCCCTCAAGGGCCCTAGATGGCAGGGTATGGAAGTCACCTGTTTTCAGAATGCTTGCTCAGCCCATTTTGGAGAAGTGAGACCTATAGAAAGTAATCACTCATGTATATGCCCAGAAGTTATTCTACAAAAAAGGATTGTTCTTTTTTTCTCTGAGTTGGCAATCAAACCAATTATCCATCTTGCTGTGTGCTTCCTTCTCAGGTGAATTCTGTATGCTGGGCCTCGCTGAATCACTTGGATTCCCATATTCTGTATCTTTAGGTGGGTGAAGAGGTTTGGTGGGCAGATACACCCTGATGTGGACCTGGGCATGCTGGGAGGTTTGTGAGATAGTACGAGCATCTGAGGGGCCAAAGGGCTGAGCCGTCACCCTCTAGGAAAGAAATGAGGATTCCTGTGGAGCACAGGGAAGTAGTCAAGGTCCCTGTGATGTCTTTCTCAGGAGTAGTGTTGTTGTGTGTGTACTAGGCACTGTTCTGAGGACTTCATGTGTAAGTGGTAGACCAGGATCAGAACCCAGGCAGTCCTGCTGCAGAACCTGCCCACCTACCACAGTATCGTGTGGCATCGGCCTCTGGGATCACCTGACAGATCAAGCGTCCATGCCAGACAGAGGGTCCTTTAGCAGAGGAATAAAGCAGAAACAAACTAAAGCTGTGGGAAGGAACCACAAATGCTGCTGAGGCAAAGCAGGAAGAGCCAAGAGCAGCAGGGGTAGTGGTCCTGAGGGGCAGAAGGGACCTTCCCACAGAAGGCTGAGGGCAGAGACCAAAGAGAAACTTCTTTGGCATTGAACATGGGCGTGTGGGCTCTAGGCCTAGGGTCCCTGCCAGAGATAGCCTTCTTTAGAGTGCTCTTGATTTCTAGTCTCTGCCTCTCCAGAGAGCCTTAGAGGCTCTTGACGCTGCACAGACTACTGTCCGTCATATGCCTCAGGGATATTGTGTGACCCAACATCAAAGCTACATGTCAATGAGTCTGCCCTTGGTTCCAGTCCCATAATAAATGGGTTCTTGAAGCTCTGTGACCACTCATTGCAAATAGCACCTACCTGGTACACTGTCATGAGTTTAGCATTAGGTAGTGTCTGTGAGCACTTAGCACCATGCCTGGTACATCACAGGCCCTCAGCAGATGGTGACTGAACCCAAACCTGTTTTTTCTGTTTCATAGTGTTGTATTTCAGAGGGTTTTTAGAGCCATTAGAGATCTGATTCTGAATCTTACGTAAGACAAGCACGAAATGCTGTGTGTTCTATAAATTGAACATTTTATCTGGTTTTTGTGTGGTGGGGTTCTGTGGGTAGTGGAGCTGCCTGTTACTGGGATGGTCTAACCAGAGGAGAGAAGAGGCCACGATTTTTAAAAAGAGAGAAAACTAGACCCTCGCTGTCATTTCTGATCTTAAAACAGTAAATGGTGGTCTCATTTTTCTTTAAGGAGATGACAAATATCTGCGTAATTGGGTATAAAAGCATGGTCTCTTGTACAGCAGCGGGTTTTATCGTAGCTTAATCGGCTTGCCCTCTGGTGGTCATTTCAAGTAATCTTCAGGCTTCTGTGTGCCTACTATTACTGCAGAAGTTCACAGAACTGTCCCCTTTACAAAAATGACACCTTATTCAGACCTGCACTCTGTGTTTTTCCCTCCCAAGAGTGCTGGGAGGTTATACTGAATTCTTCATACTCACCCTTACTGGGCTCTTGGTTAACCTTGGCCTGTTAGGGACTAAAATATGGAATTGGCCCCATAAGTACCATACTGTTTGACTATAACCTGAGTTTCAGTCACAGTAACCAGAAGTACACATGGGTAAGGACTTTCTCCTCACAGCCTCGCCTCCCAAACACAGAGGCAAAAGAGGTTTACTTAGGAAGGAACTGAGCTGCTGTATGGTAAGCTGTGTGAACTTTGCTTACCATCCCGTAGTACGGGGCTTACCATCCAAAGCAACATGACAGATTCTGAATTGTCTACAATGGCTTTTCAGATATCTACATTTTCCAGTGAGGTATGTGTGCATTCATTCAACCAACATCTGTTCTGTTGAGCTTGTACAATTTCTGTGCAAGGTGTAAGAGATAGGCAGATCAACAGGAAATTAGTGTACACAGTGATACCTGTGAGGGCGATTGGATACAAGAGGGATGGAGGGAGGAGGACAGCCTTCCTGGAGATGTGCCTGCATGGGAAGGAGGGACCAGTCAGGAGAGGACATGGCTTGGTGTCCGTGGTGACTTTGGCTGGATAGTAGGGCCCTGTTGGACTGATTCCTCAGGGATGCTCCTGGAGGATTGTAACCGTGGAGTCATTTTGTAAGAAGCTTCCTTTGGTAACCGTGTGGAGGCATAGACTGGTAAGGGGAGAGACGTCTGATGGAAGGCTGCTGCAAGAGTCGAAGAGGGCAGTGACGAGGGCTCAAACTAATGCAGCAGGAGTGGCAAGGAGGGCACGAATCTGGGAGAGGTTTGAGATTTGGCCAGTGATGTGCTAATGGAAGGAATCCAAGGAAGAAACTCAGAGGTAGCAGTGTTCAGTGGTGGGATGAGGTGGAAGGAAAACCAGGAGGGTGATGTGGAGGTCAAGAAGTGGGGAGTATATGGTTGAAAATTGTGCTAAATGGCCACAGGTCAGGGCTGAAAAGTTTTCTTTTTTTTTTTTTTTTTTTATTTAAATATTTTATTGTACTTCAGGTGAAGGCTTACAGAACAGATAGTTTCTCATGTAACAGTAACACACATGCTGTTTTATGA